CCGAGGTCCCCTGTACACGTTGCCGTGTATGTAAAAGATCCTTTGACAGTTGGAATTTGAAGCAAGATGGGCCGTTTATTGCGCCACTTTCCGGATAGAATGTCCCTCATAACACAGAGCTTAACGTACTTCATTAGTGAGTTCGTATATAGTCGTTCGGTTAGTACGAAAAACAGTGGTTCACTCGTGTATCAGTAATGTTTGTCTGCACGTAAAAGATCCTTTGACAGTTGGAAGCTGATGAAGAGAATGCGGAAATGCCACTTCTCTGGAAGTATTCTCATCTCTTGTATTACACACGTGATTATGGAGACATATAACTAGATGTTGGTATCAGAATAAATGAAAATTAATTTCATTCCATTCTCAATCTGATTAAAACACAGATGCTATTTCGTTTCGTTTTTTTTTTATAGTTCAAAATTTCGTTTTATTTGTCTGTACTACACTAAGATCTGGAAGAGTTGTTATCTAACCTGCATGCTGGATCGCGTGAGGGATTAGCCAATGAAATCATCTGTTACGGCGACTTCTTAGCGTGTGATGCACGGAACCGTGGGTAAACCACCAGAAACGTTAACGTTGATTGATTAATCAATGTCTGACGTCATAGGGACAAAAGCCGCTCGTACGACCTCTGACGCGACCTTCCACTATAATTGATCAGATCTTCATGTAGTGTAGGCCATCGAATGTATAAAAAAAACGTAACGAAATATAGATCTGTACTTTAATCAAATTGTTCTATTCCAGAAACATCAGTTAACGAAACAGATCATCAGTATAGAAGATGCAGAGTGGGTATTCATGGATTATTTTTATGAAGAAAATTGTGTTTTCCTTTCATTAAGATAGACATAATTTGAGTCTGTGCTAGCTATGTATTTTATCTAAACTTATTTTACCAATTTGATCATAGTTATAATCACAAAATCAATTTAATTTACGCCCTATAGACCTATAAATGCGATAAGGATAAATTGAATATCTTTGAATATCGGAGATCCCATTGAAGACGCTACACCGCCTTATTGATTAGACATCTAACAACGAAATGAGATATTTATAAACACTTTCAGGGAAGCTTGGTGTAAAACTTGCTCATTTCTCATTTATACACATGGTGGACCGTGTGGTTCTTAGGTGAAATTATCCACACTGATCAGCAGTGAATATTCACTAGGCCTCTACAATCACTGATATGGATGACATCGATGCGACTTAATGAGTCCCAAATATTAACTTTTGTTTCCGTCAAATTAAATTCTAAAATATTTTTTTCATGTATTAGAAAAATAAATAAAGGCGTTTGAATTATTTGTAGGTAAAAATCATTTCCTATTTAGTATAAATGGGTATTAAAATAAGTAAAATCACCATTTAGCCCGAATCAGTAACGTCTTATGTAAACAATGCACGTGCCATTGAGCCAATGATTGACGCCGCGTGATGTGACGTCACGTGTCGAAACAGTCATCTGTTACAGAGATATTAGAAGACTTTCGCAATCCTCTGTGAAACAGATTGGAAATTATCCTACTGATATCTAGTCTCGTGAAAGTCGTAATTAGTTTATCCAACTCAGTATACATTCGGGAATCTCCAACTATTCGGTAATTCCCGACGAAATGTATAGTACGCCAATTTCTCTTGGAATTTCAGCTTCCGGGGAATCTTTTATGTGCACAACCCTAAAATGACTAGATACGCTTTCCTTGATTAACGCATGCACGTTGCATCATAAGTTCTGTCGAGTGGACGTTAAACCCAACTTGACTAAATATGACAGACCTTCTGATTCAACGCGCACGCGTTAACCATTCGACCACTCAACCCCCTAACTGGAATTCAATGGTTGCATATGTCCCATCTTCATCAACTAGATTAGTGAAGTGACGCAGGACGTTAAACCTCATTTATGTAAAGAGAATATGCCGAAAATGCCAGACAAATTACTTCACTCTGCGCCTGGATATTAGCGATATAATTATAGGCTAGCCTCGATCGTCCTTACTACCTTTGTTACGATAATAAACAAAGTCTTGATTATCCATTTGTACGGTAACCGCATCCACCAGAAAACGTTTTTGAATCCGCTAAATATCATAGGCATGCGATGGCATCGAGAGTTGATTATGGTCTTGGTAAGTTAATTAATGTCTAATTAATAATTTAGATAACATTTCAGGCCTAAAGAAAGACCTTCAATAGGAAGATTTACCTCTTGTATAATGTATGTTTAAGATATAATTATAAAAGAAATCAATGATTGTCTCCGATACCTTTGACCTACCTGTATTCATAAAGATAAGATTCTGTTAACCTATTCAAATCTTACAACTTGACCAGCTGTGACACAGAGTTTAAATAATCATAAACACGATTTATTTGATATTCCTACACAATTTAAACAGGCTATCCTACTCTATAGTCCACTAAAACATAACGCGTGGTCGAGAATAAAACTTTCGGGATTTTATGAGGGAGCCATGGTCCCACTCGTCGTGTGTAACGCCTAATGGCAGACTGATAAAGAGCGTTTCTCGTCGTTCGGAAGCTACAACAAGCAATTGGTAGTGCATATGAAATACGCCTTTCCACTAAACACAACTGCCCCAGGCAAAAATCAAGATCTTTTGTACAAAGTGTAGCGTAGGCCTATATTAAAGACGCCTTACCCCTAAATACCACTGCCTGGGCAAAAACAGAGCTTCTGTACAATTAGTAGTGTCAACACAAGAGACGCCTTTCTGCTAAATACCACTGCCCGGGCAAAAGCAAAGATCTTGTGTACAACTAGTAGCGTAGGCCTATATTAAAGACGTCTTACCCCTAAAAACCACTGTCCAGGCAAATACAGAGCTTCTGTACAATTAGTAGTGTCTACACAAAAGACGCCTTTCCGCTAAACCCACTGCCCGGGCAAAAACATAGAGCTTCTGTGCAATTGGTAGTAAATATGAAAGACTCCTTTTCACGAAACATCACTGCCCTGGCAAAATACCCTCGGCTTGCATGACTCACGCGTTCTCATACCTTAATCTCCATATGACTGGATTCTTTTTCCAAGATGTCAAACCCTATAGCATCATATGTCTAGTTGAGTTCAAAAGACGTGTCTCTAAACCTACCTTGACAAAGATGAAATAATCTCTTGAACATCTGTCACGGGTTTGAAAAATCTCGATTCATTTGTATACAGTGATAATACTGACAATAAAATAAACTACGTACATGTATATTAAAAAATAAACGTTATTTTTTTTTATGTGAAGCAGGTATACAAGCAGTAATCACGTCTCATCAAACGGTGTAGTCTATAATTTGTATAGTAATAATAAATGCCCCCGAGGCCTTAAACTATCTCTAACACACATCCAAGAACAATAATTATATACATGTAAAATTATGACATTTCGTTTGACATGATGTCAGTTGCTATGTTGTCATAAAGCTCACGGCCTGGGGCTTTTATTATTTACAGCGTGTGATGATGCATTGTTGCAAATATATGGACGGACATGATAAGAATAAGATAGACACAAATGTATTGAGGCCTAATAAATGGTACCTTGATTTCTGTTTTGTTCTATTGTTATTAAAATAGGAGTTATTTTTAAATATGTAAATAAATTACTTACGAATGTGTCAATTCAATGTATGTAGTAACCAAGCTTTTTTTTCACATTATATAAATCTATACGAAAAGAACGCTTTGTACATCAGGCGACTCGCCAGCCATCTTGAAATAAATCGATAATGAATATTATAATGCGTTTTATCGATTTTCTTCCAAAGCAGGCGGCGTTAGAAACCTTTCACGCGCTGTTTTAGCGCGGGAAATCCAGGCACGTGGTATGGTGTTTATTGAGTAAATGGAATGGAAATACGATATCTAGCCTACTGGTGATCGTTTTATCTTTTTTATTAGAGTTCCAGAGATGACTTATATATAGGAGATGGGTGAACTTCCATTAACCAGATTTCACATGAAGAGTCCAGGGGAAAAAAGATCTAAGTCACATTTTCGTCTTTTCGCATAAAAGGCAAAACAGACTTTTGGACGAGAATGCTTGATACGAACAGAACAACGAGTGGGTTTAATTCCAACTTCAAAATGATGTTTAATACGAATCATAATTACCAGTGTCCATCAATTGGGCACAAACCCAGACCCAACTTTTCTATAGTAAAATATTGTGTAGAATACGGTGCCGAATGGTAATCATTCCGCCGTTAAGGCGTTTTCTAGATATTAGGGGTCAAAACTCAAATTCACCTTTGTTCTTTGTGACCCCGGGGGTCAAAAGGTCAAATTTTCCGTTTTTTGCACTAGCATAAAATATAAGAGAGAGGAAATGGGGTTTAACGTCCACTCGACACAAACTAGGTCATTTCGGGACTAACATATGGTTTAATTTTAATTCAATAATTCGCGTGCGCGTAGGGGTCTTTTGCAGTGGGAGGAAACCGGAGGACCCGGAGAAAACCCACGAGGTTAGACAGGCATAACTACTTTTTGTCACGTACAACCGGGGCTTCGAAACCACGCCACTTGACTCAATGACAGAGATTATGATAAATGAAATGAAATGGGGTTTAACGTCCTACTGTTTTGCTCCGAACTGCGCCAATGAAGACGGGCATAAGCCATACAGTGTGCTATGAAGGAAATTTTGCCCGGACAGCGGCACTGCAGCCTACTCTTATATCGAATTCCAACTGTCAAGCGATCTTTTACTTGCACGCCAATGTGTACATGGGACCTCGGTTTTTAATCCCATCCGAACGACTAGACAGCTGTCCTTGTCAGGCCCTCCATCCTGCATAGCATCACTGACAAGGAGGAACCACGCCAGAAAATCTGGATGAACTTTCTTGGCCAAAGCAGGGATCGAAAACCCAGCCTCCAGGCTAGCGAGCCAGTGCCTTACCCACTTAGCCACCGTGAACCCCAAACCCCAATAAACCTTTTTAACTATATAATGAATATGGTAAAATTTATTTTATCTATAATTTCACAATTATCGTCTGGGTAATATTAATTAAAACATTTATAATATACAATTATTTTTTTTCAATTTTTTTTTTCAATTTTATGTTTCAAATTTGATCAATTCATACAAATGAAAATGGAATGAATTTTAGCATGATTGATAAAGTTGTAATAATTTACACTTAAAAATAGCTCCTGAATAATTAGGTATAAACATAAAAAAGAAAATTAAATTCTATTTTTAAATACGATATTGCATAAGTGGTATTATTCAGTCCCCAGAGAAAATGGTGCTATATAAGGCTGTGTAAAGCGCCTTGATTTTACCTACAAAAAATATATAAAAGGAATTTAACATACACAAGAGGGGCAGTGGCTTGCAGGGAAGGGGGGGGGGCGCAGATGGGGCACCGGACATTCATTTCAACTTAGACATCCAATCAAAATTGAAATTGAAATATTTCGGACAGGAGGCACCCAATGTGGCCTTTTTATTTGAAATGAAATGGGATGTAATGTCCCACTGTTCTGCTCCGACTGCCATACAGTGTGCCATCACCAAACCTTTGTAACCCACTGAACCTAAAAAAAAGCCTTAAATATAGCAAAAGGACCAGAAAATCAGAACTTTGGCATTTTTTTCTCTCACATAAATTTATATAACTGATACACACACTCTCCCAAACGTCAAACGTTTAAATTTGAAGATGAAAATGATATTTTTGCCAATTTCTCAACTGGCAATAGTGACTTATAGGATTAATAGGATTATTCTTTAACAAGGTAGGACTGTTTATAGATACCATCTATTTTAAGCTGCGGGTAATTTGAAATTATACGAAAATATACAAACAGAGACTTCATAATTTACTTTTGATTATCATTAACACCAATGTGATAAAAACACAGATCCTATTTCGTTTCATTTTTTATAGTTCAAAATTTCGTTTTACTTGTCTTTACTACACTAGGATCTGGAAGATTTGTTATCATTGTTATCATTGTGAGCTATTAGCCAATGAAACGGTCTGTTACGGCGAGTTTTAGGCATGTTTTGCACGGAACTGTGGGTAATCCACTAGTAACATCAATGTTGATTAGTTAATCAAATGTCTGACGTCATAGGGTCAAAAGCCGCTAGTATGACCTCTGACACGACCTATCGCTACAACCGGTCAGATCTTCATGTAGTGTAGGCCATCGAAAGTATAAAAAATGAAACGAAATATAGATCTGTATTTGAATCAGATTGTATTTATCCCAGAGATAAAATTTATCCTTTGTTTATGTCTGGTAAAACTCGCCGGCCATTAATCAGCATGAAATCATTTCCTAAGCTCCGCCCCTCTGTGGCTACTGATTGGCAGGATTTGTTAAGAATGAAATGCTGCCGATTTCTCGACAATTAGGTATCGGTTCGTTGCATGAGTTACATATTAATGATTCTTAGAAAATTTTTCACACCTTCACATTGAAAGTTCATTCGAAAACAGTTGATTTAATGATGTAACTGGAACTATTTTTAGTCCAAAAATGTGAGTGATTCGGCTAGATATGTGAAAATTCTGAAGAAATGCGAATTTGAGCCACCTTGCCGCCATCTTGGATTTTTGTGACTTTCAAAATGGCCAGCGAGTTTTATCAGAGATAACAGGGATCGAGATTGATCAAACACCTCACATTAATTATATGATATGCTACCACAGATAAAAAAAAAACCCTTTCAACATACAAATTATACATCAGGGACCTTGTTCACTGTAACTTGAACTATGCTAGTTTAAGAATCCTGCATTTCCATTGGTTGGGAGTTAAAATCAGGGTTAGTATTTGAACTTTCAGCCAATGAAATCCCATTATAGATACACTGAGGATTAATTTTTAACACATTTGGAACTGCTTGTATATATATAATTAGAACCTGATTATAGAGATGGACAATTTCTCAAAAAATATTCATCAACAAGTTTTCAAAATGGATTGGTTGCATTCATGCACACAAACACAGAAACAGATTGCATTATTGTAATTGGTTACAATAGTATTGTTATTGGTAACAAAAACATTATAATTTGTTACATTAACATTATTGTAATCTATTACAATAACATTATTGTAATTTATTACAATAAAATTATTGTAATTTGTTACAGTATCATTATTGTAATTGGTTATAACATTATTGTAATTTGTTATAAAAAAAAGTTATTGTAATTGGTTACACACATTATTGTAATTGGTTACACACATTATTGTAATTGGTTACACACATTATTGTAATTTGTTACAAACACACATTAATTAAGAATTGTTTTTACAAGCATAAATTAACATACTGTCCAATATGGAAATTGCGGATTTCTAGTTTTACTGAGATTTCGTTTTCTGTGGCTGTTGGACGAATTTCTTCAATGTGGAGTGTAGCAGGTGGAAATTCTGAAATATTAATAAAAACATTAAAAACACTACATTCAAGACAAAAAGACCAATACAAAAATGAAATGGGGAAATTTTGCCTGGACGTTTTGAATTCTAAATGTCAAGGGTTCTTTTACGTGCACGACGATATATACACAACAAAGAGCAGTCTTACTAAAAGAATTCTGATTAAAATAAAAAATTATTCAAAGAAGAAGAAGTGTTTATTAAAGTGTCACATGGTCTACATTTACATATCATAATTCAGTTAAAAACTTAATTAAAGAGAAGTTCCCTAACCACCATCTTTAATAGAAGGTTTGATCTCACTTCAACTCTGTATTATCTTATCAATGCCTTCACATAATAATCTCTTACGTTTTTCGTCACTAATTTCAATTGGTCTAGAACCCAACTCAAGACCTCTTAGATACCTCGATAAAAGAATACCAAGTCTGGCTGTGATAATTGAGTTGCAAAGTTCGAGGTTCGTTCAATGTGGACTTTGCTGGAACTTTTCCACTTTAGCCGCAACTTTTATGCTATGATCCACTTCACATCTTAGTCCAAACCTTTCTAAGTTATTTTTCTGTTCTGACATTATGCTAGTAAGGTTGCTTGTATTTGGTTTTCCATGAGTTTTTTTAAATAAAAACAAATCTATCCTGTTATGTGTTTGTATCATGTCTATGATACCAAAATGTCAGGAATTTCAGACTAATCTAGCAGAGAGGGGGAGAGAGAGAGAGATGGGGTTTAACATCCACTCAACACAAACTAGGTCATTTTGGGACTAACATATGGTTTAATTTTATTTCAATAATCCGCTTGCGTGTAGCAGTGGGAGGTAACCGGAGGACCCAGAGAAAACCCACGAGGTTGGACAGGCGACCCTTCTCCTTGTCACATACAACCGAGGATTCAAAACCACGCCAGTTGACTCAATGACAGACCTTACGATACAGCAAGAGAGAGAGATGGGGTTTAACATCCACTTAATGACGGACCTTATGATACAACCTGCGTGCTAACAATTCGGTCATCCCCCCCACACCCGCTGTATAACGAAGTATAGATATATATTTACCTGTGATACCATCCACACCAATACGAGATAAGCTCCGATACCTGCTGCTAAAAATAGATCAAATACTGCCGGCTTTACGCTGAAAATACAAACAAGTCACAATTAATTTAACACTGACACGTGAAGACAAGAATTCTCAAAGTTAAAGGGATCTTTTACATGCACTTAGATTCTATCACATCCAAGAGATGAAATGGAGTTCAACGTTCTACTTTTCTGCTAAAAAGATAAAAAGAGATTGGGAAATGGTGGCAGATATATCTGGAATTTTTTTAGACCATTTATGCCAATCAGATTAATATTACTCTTGAATTGAAATGAAATGGGGTTTAACATCCTACTGTTTAGATTCGACTGAATGAAGACAGGCATATGATATGCAGTGTGCAATGAGAGAAATTTTACCCAGACAAGGGATCTTTTATGTACACGCCAATGTGTACACAGGACCTCAGTTGTTTGTCCCATCTGAACGACATACTCCTCGCAGTGTTTCGTTTGATCATACCTAATCCCACTAAACACTGCTTTAACGAAGGCAAATTTCTGTTCCAAATTATGACAGGTCAATGGTCTGATTAACAACCAATAGCTAAGTGCGTTACAAAAGCATTACGCTTAAAACAGAGTCCAAATTGGACCAAATATGTTTATATAACGTAAAGTTATGACTCACGATTTTATTATGCCCAATTAACCAGTGCATAGCAGCATATTGCAGAAAAATTGATTGTGTGACAAACGAGGCTATCAAATGGAAAACAATGTAAACAATACTGTTTGGAGGCGAACATACTTTCACCATTTTTAATACCTTAAATCACTGTCCAAAGTTTTAGGGAAGACCCAGATTAAACGAAGGGCTGTCATGTTGCTGTACTTGGGATCGAACACAGGACCTACAGCTTAGCGATCTAGCGTCCTACCCACTAAGCCACCATGGCTCCCAGATTTATATGATCTTGAATTAAATCGAGACATGATAAACTTAAACTTACTTGTAGGCATTTAATGTGTACTTAGATCCACTATAAAACAAAAATTCAGGATCTCTGTTAAAAAAAAAAAAAAATTACTTGAATGGCTTTTAATTATTCAACTGGAAATATACAGAAATCATTTCTATAAAATACAACAAGAGTTACACATAGGCTTCATGACAGGACTAAACCATCTGCAACCTTCCATTTAGGAGTCACACCCTCCCTCCACAGTCCACCCCCTCCCCCTTTTTTTTTCAAAAAGCAGGATACAGTTGTTAACGGATTTATTTCTAATTTGGCATGAAGCATTAGGACTGTCTTGTTAGTCTGGAGGCTCAGTGTGGAGGGGTGTCCATCAAATGGGCACAAAACCAGACCCAACATTTCTATAGTAAAATTTCGCGTAGAATACAATGCCGGGTGGTAATCAATCTGCCGTTGGGGCGTTTTCGAGATATTCTGGGTCAAAGGTCAAATGAGGTCATTTGCACCAAAAGTGAATGTGCAGCCATTGTTGTTTCATGAAAATAAGCTGAAAATGATCGAAAGTAATCACCCTTTCAATAAAAATGTAAACTTGCTAAATTCACCTTTGTTCTTTGTGACCCCGGAGGTCAAAAGGTGAAATTTTCCGTTTTAGCACAAGGAAGATTTATCAAAATTGAATGGTCAGCTTTAAACTGGACACAAGTACAAATTAGATGATTTATGGTGATTTTAAACGTTTTTTTACGAATAAAACATATGTGAAAGAAATTAGTGCTAGATACACAAGACTAAATGATACCTGGGTTACAGTGAAATATTCCAGCCAATATTATTCTTACCGTTTATCAGCTTTATGTGTTGTGATTTTAACATCTTTAAGATATCTGGACATGGTATCTTGTAATGTATTAATTAGACTACTATCTGTGTTGATTAACTGAGCTGATCTCGCATCATTCGTTAAATAATCTAACCAGGCAGATTCAATACTCTCCTGTGGACTCTAAAACAAAAATACCAAATATATTCATATATTAAATAAAGATAGGTTGCCAGGCAATGAAACATCAATTGTTTTACAGTATTCAATACCCTCCTGTGGACTCTAAAAAAAAAAAAAAATACACCATAAATATTTGTATTGTTTTACAGTATTCATTAAATCTCGTCACTCCATAAACAAAGTCTCAAAAGGAAACAAAACAGTTTGATGTGATGAAATAATATTAAAATAGGATAGTGAAATTGTTTATATTATCACTCGAGTCTGATGCCATGTGGGAAATTCGTAAAAAATCACCAAAAATCATCTAATTTGTACTTGTGTCAAGTTTAAAGCTGACTGATTAATTTTGATAATGAGTGTCCAATCTACAAGTATTTAATTTCCTGACCACAGTTCAAAAATTAATCATTATACATCAATAATCAATGGGTTGTTTATTTTTTAACAGTGATCGAGAAATTAAACACTTGTAAATTGAACACTCATTATCAGAATTGAATGGCCACCTTTAAATTGGACACTTGGTGATTTAATATGATGTTTATGAATTTTTAAACAAGGATTTGATATTAAACGAATGTGCTAGATACACAAGATTAAATGATACCTGGGTTACAGTGTTAACAGTATGTTTCAGTCTTTAATAAGTTGACCATCATGAGATACAGAGAGAGAGAGAGAGAGAGAGAGAGAGAGATGGGCTTTAAGTCCACTCGACACAAACTAGGTCATTTCGGGACTAAAATATTGTTTTTAAATTTTATTTCATTAATTTGCTTGCCCGTAGGGGTCTTTAGCAGTGGGAGGAAACCGGAGGACACGGGGAAAACCCACGAGGTTGGACAGACGACACTACTACTGCTAACCATTCGACCATCCAACCAGCCAGATACAGTAGGTTTTCCGGGGCTGATATGATTATTTACATATTAAGATGATTAAGTACACTTACGAGAGCATCAGCGAAAAGTTGTGTTACACTCGGACTAGTTAAATTATAAATATGTGTAGCAATAGCCTCGGCTATAATCTGTACATTTCTACTCAATACCTTCACATCAACTTGATCTCTAAAAATATACAAATATATAAACTTTACTTTCCATTTCGCTACAATTTGGTATCAAGAGTTTCTGTATTTAATGTTTAGGTTCAAACCATTGTTGGTAAACTGTTCAAATCTATTGAGAATCATAGAAAACCATTGGGTTTCTACAGTTGCATAGTGTAAAATGGTCCATCTAGATTACATAATAAGTTGTGGATTTACGACTGTTTACTTTCAGTAGCGCTGTTGAGTAATTAACCCGTTAAGCGTGACGTTTTTAAAACGTTAACTACCCCCTATTGTGTAATTAATTTGACGAAGTGACGAAGAACTATGTACTATGTTCTAAGAATAGGTTGGGGAAAAAACCTCCAAGGTGTTATATTACGCCCTACACACAGTGAGTGGCAGTTGTCCAGGACGTTATATAACGACCTATGGGTTAATTCTGAAATGAAATGGTGTTAAACGTCCTACTCCTATACTGGGTTAATGAAGACGGGCATATGCCATACAGTGTGCTATGAGGGAAATTTTGCCCGGACAGCGGCGCTACGGCTTACTCTTATATCAAATGTTTACACCAGACCTCAATTTTTCATCCCATCCAAATGCCAAGACAATTTTGTCCTTGTAAGGCCCTCCGGCCTGCACAAGAGAGAGAAATGGGGGTTTAACGGCCACTCGACACAAAGCTAGGTCATTTTGGGACTAACACATGGTTCAATTTTATTTCAAAAGTCTGCCTATCGCAGGCCTTTATTTTGGTTTCAAATGTTATATAAACTATTATTTAGACATTTATTCACACGAAAAATCTATAATCATCTCTCTAGATCAGCTCCTTATCTAAATCTTACATAATGCATCTTTAAAATTGTAACCATATATTTGAATTGCATGTTTTATGTTACCTGTTCCATGAGAGTTATCTTACCTTGTATCAAGAATGGATGTTCTGGACGGGTATTTATGAGAGTCAAGATGTGATAAAGTAAAAGCTTGAAGACGTTTAATACTAAAACGTTCGTGTTCCCACGCCAACATTTCATCAGCTAAATTAATCTTCTTGTGAACCATATCAAACTTGACTTCAGGGAAACTTGATTTTGTGATTTCCTCTAGATTCTAAAAGTATAAGAAGTCATAAAGTCATTCAGGTAAGTATCTAAGAAGATACTCACATAGAATTCTCTCAATTGGCGAAATACGACAATTGAGTGAAAAGCTGAATTTTGGGCTACAACTCATGTGATGACTGCCCAAGAAAAAATCTCAACCAACCACGACACCAATAGTATCTTGCGAAGCTTCAATGCCATACAAAGTCACTCTTGTAATTTCGCTAGGCATCCTATCCCCAATGTCAGGCAAAAGAATTGTTGAAACATTTTACTTTTTTGCATCGGGCACTAAACTACAACTCCCACGATACCTAACACTGTAACCCAGATATCATTTAATCTTGTGTATTTAGCACTAACTTCTTTCACATTCGTTTAATATCAAATCTTTCTTGAAAATTTGTAAAAATCATTTGAAATCACCCAAATTCATCTAATTTGTACTTTTGTCCAGTTTAATGCTGACCATTCAATTCTGATAATGAATGTTCAATTTACAAGTGTTTAATTTCTCGATCACTGATTAATTTTTAAACAGTTCTCAGGAAATTAAATACTTGTAAATTGGACACTCATTATCAAAATTAATTAGTCAGCTTTAAACTAGATATCAAGTACAAATTAGATGATTTGGGGTGATTTTAAATGATTTTTACAAATTTTTAAACAAAGATTTGATATTAAACGAATGTGAAAGAAATTAGTGCCTAGATACACAAGATTAAATGATACCTGGGTTACAGTGTAAGTTGTAGTGGTATATTTGGTGTTTAAGTATTTATATAACCGATTAATAAAGAATATTTCTCACTTGTAAGAATTCTGCTCCAGCACTGCCGTCTTTTGGTGGTTTCGATACATGAAGATGTAGAGAGTTATCAGCTCCGAGCATGTCCAGACATAAAACATATGCTGCATCAGTCAATACATTCGTATCTAAAAATAGAAAATCATCATTTATAATGTAAGAATCGAGAGGGGATGGGGTAACGAAAGAGAGAGAGAAATGGGTTTAACGTCCACTTGACACAAACTCGGTCATTTCGGGACTAACATATGGTTTAATTTTAATTCATTAATTCACTTGCGCGTAGGGGTCTTTAGCAGTGGGAGGAAACCGGTGGACCTGGAGAAAACTCACGAGGTTGGACAGGCGACTCTACTAATTAATTGTCACGTACAACTAGGGATTCAAAACCACGCCAGTTGACTCAATGACATGCCTTATGATACAGCGCGCACGTGCTAACCATGCGACCATCCAACCCCCTGGTTGTTAACAAAACGTTAGATGCTATATAAAAGATGGTTTTATGATACCCATGACTCCTACCACTGGTGTCACTGTATCAAGATTATTATGACTTGGATTCCATCTAAGTTTTTGTTATTTAAAGATACATTATGTAAGATTTAGATAAAGAGCTAGCCATTCGTGCAATAATAGTTCAAAAATAGATAATGTAAAATGAATAATTTGAAAATTTCATTCAAATTACTCTATTGCAAGCGAAGATATTAGCCTTTGAAGGTTTGAAAAGACGTGTGCAATAATTTCAACCACCATACTGGTTGTTCGAAGCTAAGTCTCGCTCCTCCATTTTTAGCTTAAATCAACATATGGCTGAACTGTTCTAATCTATTTAATATTGGAGAAATCCGATGCCATCTAGAGTTGATTATGGCCTGGATAAGTTTATAAATGTCTAATTAATAATTTCTATAACATTTCAGGCCTAAAGAAAGACCTGCTATATACAGATTTAGCTCTTGCGTAATGTATGTTTAAATGGTTTTGGATTCCTCTCTCTATATTTTTAATTGAAAACATTAAGTGTGGGGGTAAAAACAAGACTTACCTGATTCTAGATTATCTTCAATCCATCTCTTGGTACCTTGATAATTAAACTTCCCACCACCAGATAATAAAAACACGATATTATATCTACATTTAATTAAGGTCATAAATACACTAACACTCTTTTAATGTCAAGCTAAATTCCAATCTGTTTCACAGCCATAAAGCGAAAGCCTTCTTTTACCCCTTTGTTCACGATGACTGACCTCTAAGTTCACATGCAGTATAGGTCTACGTGTGACATCACATCGTTAGCATAAGCATAAGGCAGTGATAGCATGTGCCTAGCTCGTCAAATCCAAACAACTGTCGTATTAAATAAAAATGGCATTACATAAATCCTCAACATGTTGTGAGAAAAATGCATTAGAATTTTTTTACAGCTATATTAGGGCCTTGTGGGAATTCTATAAATAAAAGTGGCATTACGTAAATCCTCAACATGTTGTGAGAAAAATGCATTAGAATTTTTTTACCGCTATATTAGGGCCTTGTGGGAATTGTATAAATAAAAACTAGAGCTTAGTAAACTTGCTTACTGAAAAAATTAAGAAAAATACGTATTCGAGTGCGATTCAGTTTATTGAATAAAATATCGTATAAACTAAATATTGACATTTTGCATTAAGGGAGAAAACTCATTGTACTGTTAAATGGTTTCCAAAATTACTTGTGTAGGCCTACCCCAAGATCTAAACATAAGCTTTCCAAATATGCATATTTTATTCAGATGCAATGCAAATTGCGAAATTGGGTTTCTAAGCACCCTAGAAATCTGGTTGCAGGCCTGTCATAAAATGGCAAACAATACAAAACATTGAATTTTAAATTTTTTTGTCTATTAAAGGATACTTTGCATGAGTTCTGGAATTGGTGAAGAGTTTGGAAAATAACCTGGCAAGTTCTAATAAAACAACGACCCCACTTCCATTAGAATCAGCTCCTTTAGCTAAACCCTGAAATAATAAACATTACAGCCTTTATTTCATTAAGTTTACACAACGGGAGCCACAGTGACTCAGTGGGTAAGATGTCGGCTTGCTAACCTGGAGGGTGTGTGTTCGTTCGCTGCGTTGGTTGAGAATGTTTCCATCAGGATTTTCTGGTGTGGTTTCTTCCTTGTAGAGGGTCCACAACCTTCGTATTTGCGTACAAAGAGCGACCATTTGTTTGGGCAATTTTATTTCGATTTTCCCAAAATTCAAATTCAAACGTCCTTATTGGAAATGAAATGAAATGGGATTTACCGTCCTACTGTTCTGCTCCGAACTGGGCTAATGAAGACTGTCATACGCCATACAGTGTGCTATGAGGGAAATTTTGCCCGGACAGCGGCACTACGGTCTACTCTTATATCGAATTCCAACTGTCAAAGGATCTGTTACGTGCACGCCAATGTGTACAAGGGACCTCGGTTTTCCGTCTCACACGAATGACTAGACAGTTGTCCTTGTCAGGCCCTCCATCCTGCATCACTGACAAGGCGGAACCACGCTGGAAAATCTGGATGAACTTTCTTGGCCAATGCAGGGAGCGAACACCCGACCTCCACATATTAAAAACACGATTTTTCCAAAAACAAGGGCCATAATCCATGAATTTACAGTCCAATACATGAATTTACAGTCCAATACATGCCAGAGATGGGGTTTAATGTCCACTCCACAAAAAACCAGTGCATTACAGGACTCATATATAGTTCAAATCTATTTCAATAATTCGCTTGCGCGTGAGGGTCTTTAGCAATGGGAGGAAACCGGAGGACCTGGAAAAAACCCATGATCAATCTACCATTTTACTGTTTGCCAACTGGAAACTTACCGGCGCCACTCCAAAAGAATCATAATGAGCGACAAGAATAATACTTGGTAATTGTTCTTCTATACCACTTCCTGATAATCTACCCTGTAATATATAAATATAAATATATCTATTCAATAGGGGCCATACATCTACAGGTATAAGTTTAACACATGTCAAAATTATATAGAATACAAGTTACTTGAAGAATTTAGAGATAGTTGTTTAGTATCTTCCCATCCTTTGATGGTTTCTAAATGATTATCTCTGATTGTATATAAATGTTTTTCTTTGTTCCATATTTTGTATATATGTATATATATATATCTTCATTGTACCATGGTTGTTTTTCTTTGTTCCATATTTTGTATATATATATATAAATATATATCTCTTCATTGTACTGTTGTTGTCATTCTTTGTTCCATAATTTGTATAAAGATGAGAGACCGCTGTCAAAACGTTGCTAGAAATAAACCCTTCAAGTAACTTGTATTCCATATAATTGTGTCATGTGTTATTCTCATTCAGTGAATAAATGCCACTTAAACAATTTAAGGTATAAGTTTAAGTGGAGCAGTACAATTATCCTCCAGAAAAAATCTAACCTTGTGTTTATATATTTATATATAAGGTCACAAAAAAAATATATTTTGGTTTTCAGATATTACCTTAACCTCATCAAAATTGGGTCAAGTAACATGTTTTATTTTCAAGTTATTAATTTTCTGCAATGTAACTCTATTAAGCGTTTCTTGAAAAGAAGAAGTGAACACTAGACTCAGCTATCAAGTATGTAACCATGAGGAAGTCACGAACGGCACTGGATAAATGATTGTTAATTTGTTTTTTGCGCAGATGGCGACTATTTTGCTGTCAATCTGATATTTTTTTTCATGATCAAAATCCCTAGGTATCGTTCCAAGGTACTATTATAACTAACCTGTATACTAGCCATAGGAAAATTAACTATCATCACCAACCTGTATACTAGCCATAGGGAAATTAACTATTATAACTAACCTGTGTACTAGTCATAGGGAATTTAACTACTAGCCATAGGGAATTTAACTAACCTGTATACTAGTCATAGAGAATTTAACTAACCTGTATACTAGCCATAGGGAATTTAACTAATCTGTATACTAGCCATAGGGAATTTAACTAACCTGTATACTAACCATAGGGAATTTAACTAACCTGTATACTAACCATAGGGAATTTAACTAACCTGTATACTAGCCATAGGGAATTTAACTAAACTGTATACTAACCATAGGTAATTTAACTATTATAACTAACCTGTATACTAGCCATAGGGAATTTAACTAACCTGTATACTAACCATAGGGAATTTAACTATTATAACTAACCTGTATACTAGCTATAGGGAAATCAGGTAGGGGTTTCTCTGTGGCCCCACTCATAACCATCTGAAACCCATTTGCTGTAGCTGCACCAAGGAAAGCTAAAAATGAAAACTAGAATCTATAATACTATATTTAGTAAGACTAAGTTTAAAGATGGGTTCCCAGAAAAGTATTTATGGGGTGGTTATTTCCAATAAAAGTATGGCAATTTTGGTATATATGGAAAGTAGAGATATCCAATCTTACTAGAAAAATACTGGATTCCCCGAAAAAGACTCATGGAGCTTATACAGGACAAAAATGTAATTGTTCCCCTAATCGACAGCCCGACGATTAGGAATTTCTGCACGCATGATGTCAAAGGTCACACGCGAACATTGAGCGCTTGATGTACAAGTTGATAAACTTTATGAAGAGTAAGATGTACAACACTTTCTGAGATAAAAATGACGGAAAAAGACGTGGGTAGTGGATAATCCGAGAATTTAATTTGGATTCGATATTTGTAATAAATAGTAAGCGATTAAAGACAACATCGTTTTATGTATGCAATGAATTCTCCTCTTGACTTCCACGAGAGGTAAGTCACGTGACGTAAACATGACCTGGTTTGGTTGAATTTTTATAGCAGGGCATTCCTTCACAATTACAATGTTTGAGAAAGATTTGAAGCATAATTATGACAAATTAATTAGTTTGAATATGTTTTTAGTCCATATATACCATTAAATCACCCAGTTTGTACGCAGGAATGTATCTTTAATTAGATGGGCCTGTTTTCAACTGATTGAATCAAGCCAGGAGACTATCTGCCATTGATACTTTTTATGTATGGCTTAATGTGAAATCGATGCCTACACATAATGTACTAGAAATATTCTATGTTATCCATGGAAATGAAATGGGGTTTAACGTCCTACTGTTCTTCTCCGAACTGGGCTAATGAAGACGGGCATACGTCATACAGTGCACTACGGCCTACTCTTATATCGAATTCCAACTGTCAAGGGATCTTTCATGTGCACACCAATGTATACACGGGATCTCGGTTTTTCGTCCCATCCGAACGACTAGACAGCTGTCCTTGTCAGGCCCCCCGTCCTGTACCACTGACAAGGGGGAACCACACCGCAAAACCTCGGCCAAGAACGTGCTTAAGAATTTTTTGGGGAACACAAAATAAGATAAGTTTACTTAAATGCAAAGTCTACTTAAATTCTAAGCACAACAACGTGCTTAAGAATTTTCTAGGAATCTGGCAGCTGTCTAGTTGTTTGGATGTGACGAAAAACCAGCCTGGGTGGTGCAGAAAAGTAAAAACGTTAAATCATATTTCGTTTCACATCGTACAAATTTTTTGGGGGAACGCAGACAACCTCAACCAATTCTGGGCAGATTCCACCAGTGGTTTAGTACAAATCTATCTTTTCAAGAAAAAAAAATGTTCCAAAATATTATCTGAGTTAAAACCAACCTTGCCAAGCTGTAGCTGCCTGATCCCCCGAAGCACCATTTTGAATACTGTCATAAATAACTGTTAGTTCGGACGTCTCCGGAGCAAAATAAACCGGTATCCCATTATCTTCCACCAACAGATCTTCTTCCAAACTTCTTAAATGCTACCAAATATTATACAAAAATATATAAATGTCATTTTTCGAGTAATCTGATTAAAATACAGATCTATATTTCGTTTCGTTTTTTTTATACTTTTGATGAAATGAAATGAAATGAAATGGAGTTTAACGTCCTACTGTTCTGCTCCTAACCTGGGCTAATGAAGACGGGCATACGCCATACAGTGTGCTATGAGGGAAATTTTGCCCGGACAGCGGCACTACGGCCTACTCTTATATCGAATTCCAACTGCCAAGGGATCTTTTACGTGCACGCCAATGTGTACACGGGACCTCGGTTTTTCGTCCCATCCGAACGACTAGACAGCTTTCCTTGTCAGCCCCTCCGTCCTGCATCACTGACAAGGGAGAACCACGCCGGAAAATCTGGATGAACTTTCTCGGCCAATGCAGGGATCGAACACCCGACCTCCTGGCTAGCGAGCTAGCGTCTTACCCACTTAGCCACGTGTTTCCCTTATACTTTTGATGGACTACACTACATAAAGATCTGACTTGTTGTAGTGATAGGTCGCGTCAGGTCATTCGAGGGGCTTTTGACTCTTTTAAGAATAAAATTAGATTTAAATTAGACAGTGTATTTAAATAATAAAAATTTCATTAGCTTTCAGTTATGTCCATTGGTATTCTTAATTTACGTACCTTTTTTTGTTCTGGAGACAGCTGTTGGATATTTTCTGGTATTAGGATAACCAATCCACCAGCATTTTGACTCGCCCAGTCTCGATACGCTGACAACGTCACTTCTTCTAACCTCGCTACTATACACTTTCTTGTTACTGACGTTGATCCTACAGGTCTAGCTTCCATATTTATCAAAAAATTCTTAGCTCCTGAAAAATACAAAAAAACACAGAGATGACATGAATCTATTTGTCCTTCATGTTTATAAAACTGTGTGGGAGCCATAAAAAGCTCCTGCCAATTTCAACTAGGAGAAAAAAAAAGAACTTCATGTTTATAAAACTGTGTGGGAGCCATAAAAAGCTCCTGCCAATTTCAACTAGGCGGAAAAAAAAAAGAACTTCATGTTTATAAAACTGTGTGGGAGCCATAAAAAGCTCCTGCCAATTTCAACTAGGAGAAAAAAAAAGAACTTCATGTTTATAAAACTGTGTGGGAGCCATAAAAAGCTCCTGCCAATTTCAACTAGGAGAAAAAAAAGCTCCCGTAAAAAAAATGCTTTTTAACTGTATTGCAAGAGTAACTCCACATTTTCTTGAATTAAGGAGAGTCAAAATGTATTTATGCTTTAGTCTTGTTTAATATTTGGTAAATATGTTTGGTCAATATGATAGAATCAGAATTATCATTATTGAAACTGATAGCTCAAACGTATGCAGTTTACAAATAAACAAATGAAGTAGTTTCTTAATCGCAATATTTAGGAGAATGATTAAGCTTATTTGCAGGGGTCTTTAATAGTTACTATACTTGTAACGTTAAACTGTGTGTTTAACGTTACAATTGATACAGTCTAAGAATCCTTACGCAAGTTCAAATAGGTTCAAACGCACAATTGTCAACACATATCATTACAGTTTGTATTGGAATAAGTAATTCTATGACAAAATAGTTACCGAACAGTTTTTCTTTGTGGTTATGCGTTCTACATTTACATCGCGATGTTTCTTATAATGACATATTACACACAAGCCGCCATGACACCAGCCAGTTGAAATTTCGCGTAGCAGTTGGGTTTCATCAAATCATATAATTATGCGGTAAGGCTTCACCTTTATTTCAATAGGAATTGATTTATTATATGTTAAGCTAGGTGCTGTACTGTTTTGGGTCAGTTTATGTGTAAATTAAGGGAGCTATAGGCCAGTAACCTTTTTGTAGTGATTTCACTAAAAAAAACTTGCGCAAAGGAACTCTGTAGGACGAGCCACTACTGTGGCTGGAGTAAGGCGGAAGACATCAGTAGTGGAACCATTTCTAGGGTCTTTAATTAGTCCTGTGAAGGAAAGTCGAGGTGTGTCTATAGGAGTGAAAGCACACATTAAACATGAAGGACTGCATCGTCTGCATGAATAATTTTCCCCATGAAATTCAATCCAATCCAAAAATTTAATGTGATCCATGGTGAATACTAAGTAGGAAAAGCTAATCCATCACTTACACTCAGCAAACTTAACTCTGTACGCACAGATTGGTAAACCAAAATTAGACAGAGGCCCATGCGCAGGTTTTCTGACTGCGAGGTGAAATCTGTGCTCTACATCTACAAATCTTTTATATAAAATCAAAATGTGAGTTGAGCAGTCATCCTTTGGAAAATAAACTGATGTTCAATGATGTTGGATTGAAAAATATAATCAGCAATCACAAGCATCTGTATTGTTAATTTACAAAGGTGCTAATAAGTCACAGCGAATGGTAGACAAACTACTTCATACGATAATAAAATAATTACAATACATACCATACGAAGTTCCCTGTAAATCGTATCTCTGCATTTTGTAAACGGAGAATTCATTTGCAGCCCCAACAGGCGAAAGGGCGATAAAAATTGGAACAAAAAATAAAAATGATAATGGAAATGCATTCCGAAACATCTCGAAAACCTCTCCAATTTCGTCGAACAACATCGTGAGTATTATTTAAGATGAGATGTTTTAAAAATGACTTTCAAAACCCGTTTGATCTTCGAGTTATCACTGAAAATGAAATTCTTACACACGCGATAACAATGTCAAGGTCGTACTGGTTTGTCCGAAATTTTAACTCGTGGCAAAAGCACTAGAGTGGAACGAATAAAACAATAGATATTGCTGGAAGCTAGACAGTATCATCAACTTCCCTGTTCTTCAAAAGATTGATAACAATGTAAAAGTTCCCTATTGTTTAATAATAATAATTTTTAAAAATGCTTTCAAATATATATTATTTATAACTATAGGTAGATCGATTCACAGAGTATAGAAATATATTATATTGTGTTTATCAAAGTCCACCTAACAATTAAATATGAAAGACGGTAAGGTTCTGGGCAGATCTTAATTACTTATTTATTTTCACAATATTGCGATGAAATAGTTTCGCGTATAATATTATTAGTGTTGTGAAATTTCTATATAAGGGGAGGTAACTACAATTAATAACACTGGATACAGACCACCATTTTATATTACTTTATAGTGTAGTGAACTAAACCCTTTAAATCTATCTAAGATCAAACAGCTCTTTATTCAATATTGTTAGTCCTTATTTCTTAATTCATAGTCCTTAATTCTTATTTCTTCATTTGTTGTCATATTTCGACATTTGTATACTAAAATTAACATTTGTATCTTAAAATCAATATTTGTTTTACAAATTTAACATTTGTCATATCAGATTTGTAAAATGTATCTTAATTGTATTTCAATATAAAGATAAAATTTATTTTAGAAAATCAAAAATTAGCCTACATTTACATTTCATCAGAGAAATACAGTGAAAAACAAATCTCGAACAACAAATTTCTAAATACAATTCTCCAAATACAAATCTTGCAAAACATTTCTCCAAAAACATTTCTTCAATAACATTTCTCCAAAAACATTTCTCTAAATCTATCGAACCGGAATATTATGACGACGTACATGAGCGGAAATCAAGCTTGCATACAATAAGACACAATACAATAAAGGAGAATCGAGCAAGCATAAGAAAAAATCGCTCGATGACCGCGACTCTAGTGAAATCTCGTGCGTATTATGGCTAATCGGTCCGTGTCTTCGAGAAAGAAAATAAATTGAAAGTAGTCTATTTTCTGATAGCGACATATTTCTTTGCTTCAACGAAAGGGTGTTTTATCTCTTCTAAATCATATAATCCTTAATCTGGTTAAAACACAGATCCTATTTCCACTCGGCAAACCTCGGCAGATTCCGGTACCCTACATATTAGATGTAGGGTACTGGAATCTGTTGAGATTTGCCGAGTGATCCTATTTCGTTTCGTTTTTATAGGTCAAAATTTCGTTTTACTTGTCTTTACTACACTTGGTTCTGGAAGAGTTGTTATTTAACTCGTGTTCTGAATGGTGTCAGGGATAAGCCAATGAAACGGTCTGTTACGGCGAGCTTTAGGCGTGTTTTTCACGGAACTGTGAGTAATCCACTAGTAACATCAATGCTGATTGGTTAATCAAATGTCTGACGTCAGAGGGTCATAAATCGGTCTTTTGACCCCTGACGTGACCTATCGCTATAACTTGTCAGATCTTCATGTAGTGTAGGCCATCGAAAGTATAAAAAAACGAAACGAAATATAGATCTGGGGCCTGTTTCACGAAATTTTAACTAAGATAAAATCTAGATTTTAGTAATTTGATTGGATAACATTAGATTGATTTTAGTGCTTAGCCAATCAAAATTGAAGTATCTACTAAAATTTGGATTTTATCTTTAGTTAAAATTTCGTGAAACAGGCCCCTGTATAATTCTGAATGTGTCAGGGAATATATTGAAAGAGGGATAAAGAAATAAATACATTCCGCTCATGCAATACACGATAATCCGTGTTTTAACTTTTAAATACCCCCCCCCCCACCTCCCACCACTTACTTAATAGGCCTAGTATTTAGCGTCACTCAACTGCGCCCCCCCCCCCCCCGTACTAACTTAATAGTCTTTAGCGTCACCCAACTGTAATACCCTTTTCAAGCTATGTAAATTTAAATGTGCCAGAATATAATTTACATTTCTGAAAAGGTAAATGAAACTTCTTTTCAGTGGTATTCAGTGTGATATCTGGAATGTCGTAGTATGACCCGTATTTTGACATTTAAGACCCCCCCCCCCCACCCCGAATCAATTAATAGAGTTTAATAGCGTACAACTTTTCAAGTTATTTTCTGGCATATTTATATTTATATACCTTGATAAAAGATCAAAGTTCCACGGTACTAAACTGTATTAAGTGTGTGGGGGGGGGGGGATATTTAAAGTAAAAAAAACTGATCTTAATAAGAAATCCTCGATATGTTTTGATATACAGCTGGGAAGTATGTTTATTGTTTGCTACAAAATGTAAATTATTTTGTTGCACATTTGTATTTACAAAAAGAAAAAAGAACAAATTTGAAAGGCACTAACATGTATTAAATGAGGAAGGGGGAGGGTGTAACTTCCAAATACGGGGCATAACACAAAATACAAGATATCGGGATGCATACCATTTAAAAGGTCCGAATACATTTTCAAAATTGTAAAATATTTTCTGACATGTTCATATTTACGTACCTTGTTAAAGCAGATATAGTATTAGCTATTTTACTGGCACATTCATGAGGGGATCACGTGGCTAAGTGGGCAAGCCTGGAGGTCGGGTGTTCGATCCCTGCATTGGCCGAGAAAGTTCTCCCTTGTCAGTGATGCAGGACGGAGGGCCTGACAAGGACAGCTGTCTAGTCCTTCGGATGAGACGAAAAACCGAGGTCCCGTGTATACATCCCTTGGCAGTTGGAATTCGATGTAAGAGTAGGCGATAGTGCCGCTACCCGGGCAAAGTTTCCCTCATAGCACACTGTATGGCGTATGCCCGTCTTCATTAGCCCAGCATAAGAGCAGAACAGTAGGACGTTAAACCCCATTTCATTTCGGCACATTCATGATTACATGATTTAGATGTTTGCCCAAAGAAATATATCGCTATCAGACAAAACCTAATTTCTGAAAATAGACTACTTTCAATTTATTTTATTTAATGCAAGATCATATTAACCAGTATACATGTATATATAGAGAGAGACATAATACGCACGCGATTTCCCTAAAGTCGCGTTCATGTTTGCTTGATTCTCCTTTGTTGTATGGGCCTGTCCAACCTCGTGGGTTTTCTCCGGGTCCTCTGGTTTCCTCCCACTGCTAAAGACCCCCACGCGCAAGCGAATTATTGAAATAAAATTAAACCATATGTTAGTCCTGAAATGACCTAGTTTGTGACGAGTGGGCGTTAAACCCCATTCTCTCTCTCTCTCTCTCTCTCTCTCTTGTTGTATGGTGACTTATTCTATGCCAGGTTGATTTCCGCTCATGTCGTCATAATGTTCCGGTTCGATGAATTTCGAGAAATGTATTTGTTATTTGTTGTTGTTGTTCGAGATTTGTTTTTCGTTGTATATGTCTATGATGAAATGTAAATGTAGATTATTTTTTTGATTTACAAAAATAAATTTTATCTTTATATTAAAATAAAATTAAATTAAACAAAAATACATTTTACAAATCTGATATGACAAATGTCTGATTTGTAAAACAAATATTGATTTTAAGATACAAATGTTAATTTTAGTGTTCAAATGTCGACAACAAATGAAGAAATAAGAATTAAGGACTATGAATTAAGAACAAAGAATTAATAACACTGAATAAAGAGCTGTTTGGTCTTCCATAGGGCTTTGACCTGCGAACAAATGTTAGAAATGTACAAAGAGCCAAACAAGAAAGAAAAACGTTAAATTCCATAACGTTAAAACTTTCTCAGGTCTGACTCCATAGTCAATAAGTTTATCACATTTATCTCCCTTTAACTAAAATATTACCGTAAAACCGTACGGCTTTTTTCGTTCCACTAAAATATAATTCTCTCTCTCTCTGGAAGCAGAAAAGTAGGACGATAAACCCTATTTCATGTTGTCCAGTTGGATGAAGGTAAGGCCGCTGTTCCAACTGAACTAGACTTATGGTTAGCACGTGCGCGCTGTATCATAAGGTCTGTCATTGAGTCAACTGGTGTGGTTTCGATTCCCCGGTTGTGTGTGACAAGGCGTAGGCTCGCCTTTCCAACCTCGTGGGTTTTTCTCCGAGTCCTCAGGTTTCCTCCCACTGCTAAATACCCCTACGCAGAAGCGAATTATTGAAGTTAAATTGAACCATATGTTAGTCCCGAAATGACCTAGTTTGTGACTCGAGTGGACGTTAAACCCCTAGGCGCAAGCGAATTATTGAAATTAAATTGAACCATATGTTAGTCCCGAAATGCCCTAGTTTGTGTCTCGAGTGGACGTTAAACCCCATTTCTCTCTCTCTTCTTATTCTCTCTCTATCTCTCTCTTTAATATCCATCATCGGCTTGGCTTAATTTTGTTTAACATACTTTCATCTTTCTCTGGTCGTGACTTCCTTTAAATCTATTTCTTTACAAATTAGTGCCTCATATCTAACAACAGATGAGACCGCCATTTATATTGATTGATTTCCTGGTACATAACCAGTGACAACAACCATATATTTTTTCTGTTTGCCACGTCATTATCTCTTCATTCGCCCACTTGGTGTAGAACATTACAACCCCAACCCATGTCATTTGTCTCGTTAAATTATTATCTTTTATCTCTCTAAAGCCTATAGCACACGGGCGAGTTATGTCTATTTTGGAATCAACTTACAGTGCTTCTTGTTGTTCTTAGTATTTAACGTCCGCTTCCACCGAAGGTGATATCGCAGACAAGTTGTCTTTTTTTATTTTCATTATCTTAGCGCACGCGGGGGGGGGGGGGTCTTTCCTGCGCGAGGAAACCGTAGTACCCGGAGTAAACCCACGAGGCTGAGAAGGCACCCCTGTCCCCAAGCCACATACGCTCACACCAGGTATCGAAGCCACAACAGCAACTGCAAGCCAGGGGTGACCGGTCAGCTAAAGGTCAAAGCGTGACACTCTAGACCACTAGCGCCCCCCCCCCCCCCGTCCCCCACTTGCAGT